AGAAAATGTGTTGACACTGTAAATAAATTATATTAGCAACAAAACACCTTGTTTATCTACACAATGTCATAGAAGAACCACTTTTGGTTCCCTACAAAACCTTTAGATGGATGGTTCTTTAAAGAGTAACTTTGTGAGTGTAAAGAACTTTTTTTAAAGTTTAAAGAACCTCCACATGATGTAAAGGATCTAGGAAGAACACTTAAATTTGTAAAGAACTTTACACTGTATGAAGGTTCTTCACCCTCAGATATCTCGTTTATAAACACGGTTCTTTCTTTAAAGAAGGCAACTTCATTTTTTTCATGAATGTACATTGTCAGCACATTAGTACATTAAATTATTGTGTGTACATTGTTAGCAAAAACTGTTAAAAGGCGTTCTGTAAAGTACCAGACAAGGTTCTCTGACTAGTAACAATAATGGAACACTTTTTGGTCCTGTATAGAAACATTTTTGAAAAGGTTCTTTAAATGGTTCTTCTCCATTGTAGAAAAGAGACACTTTACCATGCAAAGAAAAGATTCAACATTGAAATGGTTCTTGTGAGTTGTCATGGTTCTATATAACCGCTGCCTTTACTAAAGAACTCTTGAAGAACCACTTTTCTGAAGGTGTATATTATAGCACAAGAAACTTCATCCATATATCATCTGTATAAACTAGAATAACAATAAATTTGAGTTCAGCTGAGTTGGAAAACCTCTAATGATCACCAAATACCTTCTTTTCTAAGAAAAAAGCAGCTTAACCCCCAAAAGCGTAATGGATTCAGCCACATTTGCAAAAGCAAATTCCTCACTTAAGGCACCACAAACGCTTCCCTGAATCAACCACAGCTCTTACAGACTGACTCAAGGTACAGTGACAGCACAGATTTCACACCATTTAGATGGCTGTCCTTCGGGAGACGCCACAGCGGGAGCCAAGCGACTGACCGGCCGAGCTGCAGCGGATGCTGACGCACAGCAAAGCATTGCCATGGAGATGCTTCCCATTTCCTTCAGAAAAGAAAGAAAATTCACTTACATTCACTTAGTTTGACAGCCTTCTAGAATTAGAACTGAACTTAGTGTTCCAGAACCATGTTCCAGACTCTGGAGCAACGTTCTAGAGCTCTGTTCTTGTTCTGGAAGGCTGTTGTAATATGTGAACAGCACAGGGTGCTCTTCTTGGGAAAATGTGATGATCAAGATGGTTTTCCTTCAAGAATTCTAAAGTTCCAAAGTAATTCTAAAACTCCAAAGTCATTCTGAAATTCCCAAGTCATTCTGGAGCTCCAACTCGAAGTTCAGACCTATTAGAGCTGCTCTGAGCTCATCTCTGTGGTCTGGTGGTCACTCATCCTGCAAGCAGTGGACAGAGCAGAAGCTCTTATGGTTGGACAGATGCACCTGCAGATGTTTTCACCTTTGCAATTTGTCTGATCTGAATTGTTATCACCCACATCGACGTTTTCACAACATCAAATAAGGTTGTGCACACATGAATATTCTCCACCGGTGGATGTGTAAATAGATACGGTGCCTAGCAATCTGTCAAGCACACAGAGAGATGAGTGCACAGGCAGAGCAGAGGAGATATCACACAAGCCAGAAGATAACATGTTTGCCATCGTGCCTCAGCTGCTATTGCTACACTGCTACACTGTTTTATTGCCTATAATACAGCTGGCAGGGCTGTGAGGTGATAAGGTATCAAAACTTTTGCATTGACTGGCCCACCACAATCAGCTGCACCCCAGCCATCCTTCTTCACCCCTTCAAAGTACACCAGTCACTTTATTTAGACAGGAAAAATCAACTACCTTACTAACTTTTTAGCAGACGGCTGGGAATCACAGGGCATATCACGATACGATATTATCGCAATAATGATGATATCGTGATACTGCGATTCTGTGATACTCTATATATCGCAAGACAATCCTCTACGATATCTGTATAAATTTCCATCTTTTCTCCCCTATGAGTTACTTTTTCTTCACCGCAGGTTTACCCTATTCATTTGATTAGCGCTTTAGCGCCACCATGTGAAGTCATGCAGTAGTGGATCTGGTAAATCAAATTGCGGGGGAGTCCGTCGACGTTTACAGCACATGCATGTTTCAATAAATAAATCGATATTTGGCGCAGGTGTATCGATATCATATCGCAAAATAAAGCAATATAGTATATCGCTGTATCGATATTTTATCCCACCCCCTACTAGCTAGCCAAGTACTCAAAAATGACCAAAGCTAGTTAGTCGTCCATATTCCTAAACCTTCAACCAAGGTGTTTTAAGTTGGGGGTGCTGAAATTTAAGGCAGGTGGTGTGAACAGTGACGTCATGCAAAATGACTTGCGTGTCATGATGTGCCATAACGTGACGAGAAATGGCAATATACTCACATAACTGACACATCTCTCTCACCTTCTGGACGAACTTTATGCAAAAGTACATGACGTCCAATCAGATCGTTGAAGTGTGCCGCGGTAGCCAGTTATGTCGCACCCGCAGTCACACACTCGACCGCAATACTTTCTTCCCGCCCGTTATATCAGTCTGAGCTGGAGAACAATATTAGTCTGCTTTGGTGCTCAGAAATGGTTCACAGCTCTGCACACACTGATAATCTGGGGTTGCTGTGGCATCCTCAGCCACCCCACTTCCCTGCCTTCAACCTTCAGGCTTTGACATTACATGCATTGCAGCTTGTATCTAGTGGTTTGCTTGGTTTGTATGTCAACTTAAAAAGCAAGGTCAGCTATTGTTGCTTGGTTTCCTTGCCAAACTAGTGAGTAATGTTGGCTATGCACGGTAAAAATTGTTGTATTCACATAAACAAGTTGGCGTTCAGACTGCATTAAAATTTTGAGTTGACTGAACTTCGAATAGTAAGTTAACCCCTATACCAAGCCATGGGTCTGCCGGAGTGCCTAAAGTTTTATTACACTTCTATAACCTAAGAATAGCTCCATTAGTTTGCATTGAAGACCCTGAAGTTAATGAATAATTAGCCTTAGTGTGTAATAAGCCCGGACATTAAAGGTCTAACAGAACAAGAATCTGTGTTTTTTGTCCTATCAACTTATTACTGACGTTCAAGTAACTCAAAATTTTAAGCTTTTTAAAACCTTTCTTAAGCTAAAACCCTGTTTTTTATTGCTTAGTTTGCATGGAAAACTGATAAGTAATACATTATCTATCACTGCTGCTAGTTAAAGGATGCTTATCATATTTTGCGCATATGCAAATAAGTAACATCAGCCACCGTAAACAAGCTGCTGTGCGACCAGGTCTACACTCAGCTTCAATCCCTCACTATGAGACGTCATTTCAATACATCTTGCTGCCTCCCAAGCACTTGTTCATCCTCACCACCTTTTATTTAAGTGAACTTTTCCTTCTCTCTGTAGGTTCAGTTGGATTTTGGCAGCTGGGGAGAGATTTACACTAGCATTCTGATTGGACATGTGCATTGAAGATTCACTTTTTATGGCCTGACAGCTTCAGCAACAGATACAGGCCCGTTGAGAATTCTCTGTATGATCCCAGTGGCCAGTCCATCCCTGCCCAGAACCACTGGCCCAAAAGCAGAACAGACTTTGTGACTTTTTCCATCTTGTGCCAGAGCCATCATCACATGTGAATCACCATCTAGCGCACGGCGCTCGTCAGAGACAAATGCGAAGCTCTGCCGAGCTTTTGTCTCAGGTTCACACAGTTTCTAAAGCCCAAGGCCAAGCCAAGAGATGTTCCTGATAGACAAAGCATCTCAGAGTGAGCTGGCATTCTCTCCTCTAAATAGGCTGGGAGGCTGCTGGGAAACAGCTCAGTGATGTCGTGTGCAGGCTTGCGACACTAAGAGCGAAATCTCAAACAAAGACAGTCGTTTTAACCCTTAGACATTAAGAGCTGTTACTGTTGTTTTTTTTTGCATTGCTATTAAAATGTAATTACTCAATTACGTATGTTATTCACATTACAAATTACATTTACATTCAATTTACATTCTGTATCGACAGAAAAAAAGTTTTGATATTCATCAAAATCAGTCCATAATAAAATATAATGGACTGAAAATGTGAAAATGTACACACTTAAAAAAAAGATGGTACTTCAATGGTTCTTTAGTAAAGAAAATGGTTCTATATAGGATCATGAACACTCAAAGAACCTTTTGCATGATTGCATTGTGAAAGTGTTAGGGGACATAGAATGTGCTGTAGATGGTTCTGTACAGCACCTTTTTGAAAAAGGGTTAATTTAGCACCAAAACAGTACTTCTGTTATTACAAAGCTTGTAACAATAGCACAACCCTTTTTGGTGCTATATAGAACCATATACAACACATTCTATATCAATTTGAAGAACTTTTCACAATGGAAAGAACCTTTAATCATGCAAAGGGTTCTCTGAGTGTACATGGTTCTATATAGAACCATTTTCTTTACTAAAGAACCCTTGAAGAACCATTTTAAGTGTGTAGAATCAGCACTTTCTACACAATTCCTCTGCCTGCTTCCAATGCGACATGATTAGGAGATAATTCTTATAGAAGTGCAGTATCAATGGTGACAACTGCGCCTTCTAAGGGTTAAAATTTGCCCACCAGCCTCTTTAAAAACTACAGTCGGAGTGTTTTGATTGACAACGTAGGACTCCGCTAAACAAATAATGCAATAACTACCAGCAGATTTCAGTGTCTGTCAGATTTTCAGAGTCTGTCAGACTCACTCCAAGCTATGGCTCTGCCAGAGGTAGGACCAGTCAGGCTGGTGTGCCGGCTCTTACGCTACTATAAGCATGCAAAGGGTATAGTAATCCTAGATTAGCTCTCACTTCCGGGGACACTCGCTGAGCATGCGTCCAAGACAAGCTGTACTCTGCTTGCACAAGCTTGTGCATTTCCATTCATACCAGTGCATGTTTGACTGTCATCTAACTGTCCATTTGCATGGACTGAGGCAGTAGCTGCTTCAAAGGAAGGATGTATTCCACATTACTTCCTTACCTTGGCATTGGAATCCCTGCTTTCCAAAGCCCCTATGTTAGAAAGAGAGAGAGAGAGAGAGAGAGAGAGAGAGAGAGAGAGAGAGAGAGGGAGAGTCAGTCACATGGCCAAATAGAAGTGATGCATTAGATAGCTAGCCCTCCTAAATCCTTTAATGGGCTTTTAGCTATCAGTTGCCTTCCATGCCGCAAGCAATCTGAGTCGATTAAAAAGATGCTGCAGTGGAAATGAACGATGTAAATATTTGATATGCTTCAATCTAGGGGCTCTCCCAGCTTTGCTAGAGAAATGAACCCAATCACCGCCTGCAGTCCTGAGGGACCCACCTGTGGCATTAGGGCCTGCCTATGTCATTACATGAAATGTACATGAGAAATGCAGCGTGGCATGCATACAGGAATATGTACCACTGTTGCATTGCACAGTTCCATGTTTTTTTCCAGCACTTGGAAAGCTGGAAAGTTATAAAGCATAAACACAAAAACCCTTGCAGTGCATGACTAGAATTAGGTGAAACTGCTCTAATGCATGCATGTTACTTTCTGACTGGAAACCAACGAACGATCTGAGGGAGTTGACAGCCCGGAGCGCACCCACAACAGGTTATTTCTATTTCCCACCCGTATTCAGGAAAACTCCGCCTCCTGCGCTGCGACTGGCCTGTAGTATCGCTCTCTCTGCTGCGATAGGCTGGCAATTTCCCAGAGATTGGCTAGCAGTTCCCACACCGTGAGTATGAACTACTGCCCAATCCCAGCGCAGGAAGGCTCGGCTTGCCGGAAAACGGGTGCGAAAGAAAACAACGCCCAGACTAAGTTGGTTTCAAAACGACAAGAAATCGAGAACCAGCAGCGGCGTTTGTGCGCGTGGAAGTGTCCGATCTCGAGCAGCCGTGCGTCCGCAGCCTGCAAAAGTTTGCGGGACCGGGCACCGGCGTCCACTCACCAGATGAAGTCGGTGCAGTGGCTGCAGAAGGTGGGCTGCTTGAAGAACCTGGCGATGAACTTGTGGTTCTTCACTTCGTGCACGTTCTTCTGCCTGAGCGCGCCTTTCCGCGCGAAGCGGTTGGCCACGTCCGACGAGGAGGACTCGTTCACGTCAGCCATGGCAGGAGAGTAAACAAAAAGAAAAGCAACACAAAAAAACAAAAGAAAAAAAAGCCCCACAGTGCAGTACAGTTCCTCACAGGCTGCTGGAAAGTTGGGCTCGTGCTGCTGCTGCTCTCCTCGCGCTGCGCTTTGGCCCCGCTTTGATACTGAACGCAGAAACTCGAGTCGACTTTGGCCCCCCTCCCTCTCTCTCTCTGTCTCTCTCTCTCTCTCACTCTCACTCTCGCTCTGTGTCTCACTCACAGTCTCTCTCTCTCTCTCTCCCTCGTTTGCTCACTCCTTCCTTCTCGCCCTCGCGCTGACGTCACTCCGGTCCCGGAGACGGCGGGCTCGAGCTTGGAGTCGCGCGCGCGCGCGCTGGGAGCGCCCCCTCGTGCTCGAACCGCCAAGGTGCAAATCTTCCCTGGGACCAGGCCAGGCTGGGTCGTTTTCTCAGGATTTTCCCAGTTAGCCAGATAATTTAAACCAACATCCAACAGGAATGTCCACTGGCTCCTTTCCGCCTTTCCACGAAAGCATCTTGGAGGATTTTTAGAATGTAAGATGTTCTCAGTAAGCTGGAATAGTGAGAACCCATCAGTGGGAACCTCCTTTACCTTTCCTGTTATTGGCTTGACACTGTGCTGTGCTGCACTGTGCTGAACACTTACTGTTACAGATTTATATATATATATATATATATATATATACATATACATATGGGTCATTCTACAGAAACGTCCATTTTTGTGTCCCTAGCGTTTACAGATATATTACACTTAAAAAAACATGTTAGGGTTACAATTTATTTCTATTTTAAAATAAAACAATGTTATTTTAACAATCACACCTTCTTGAGCATCAATTTAGCAATATTGGTTTTTAAATCAATTATCTAGAATTCCAAGCACCAAAGAAGTGCTTGTCCCCACAGTCATGTGTAAAGTGGAGAGAGAAAAAAATGGGTGAATGGCCATATTTTGATAAAATAAAACATTCTTTCTGCAATTTTAACTACAATAATCTATACATAATTATGGAATTTATAAATTAAATGACATAAAGAAAACAAATGTCAGATAAATATTATAAAATACTTCAGGAGTCGTGTCACTGGTGTTACTGCGTAACAAAAAATCTCTTATTTTGAAATAAAAATCACACTGATGACATCACTTCCCTTCCTTTTACCTATTTTCTGAGGATCTATGAAGAAAAGCACAAGGTAAGTCTACTGTGTCTTTTTAGTTATCGGAAATCTTCTCATTTAGCTCATGATTTCATATGAAGCCTTAAGTTGACATCACTGGTGTGACCTACTTTATTCTTAGGTAATTGTGAAAAAGTAGAATACAAATGGATTAAATTACATATTTTAGTGGATATTCCATGACTGACAACATGTGGTTTGATGCTTTATGAAGTCATGTGATCTAAAGGTTTGTAACAGCTCATACATTTACACTAACTCTAAGAAGAGAGACTGACGTAATAAAGGTGAGCGGTATTTTCCCTCCAGTCACAAAATCTGATCACAGGCGGCCACTGAAGACACAGTCGAGACAAATGGAAATAATAATGTCAGGTGTAAACAGCTAGAAGTCCCACTGTGCACTTATGATCAGATCACTTAACACCAAGTGTGTATAACAGGGCCATCATTGGAATCAGAACTGTTTATTAGAATCAGAATCATTCATAAATGTATCATGTTCACATACAAAGAGTTTGTTCTGGTGGGTTTTCACAATAAAGCCTTGCAATACAATTGCAATTTTCACCCAAAACAATAATCAGCTAAGATATGTTTGGTGTCTGAGTTCACTGCTATTATTGGTTTTAGCCATGCTAACATACTTTGGTCCATGTTTATAGATAATTGTATCTCATATAGTGTCAGAAACCACATAAGCAAGTTTAGCAAGATATAAACAAGATTACTTAACAACTCAATGCAGTTTGAGTCGAGTGGGTGATGATTCAGGCTTGCAGTTAGCACAATGCTAATTGGTATAAGCTTCCTCCCTGCAGGTCTAACTGACACATGAGAGGTGCTGCACTGTTCTGCTGTGTGTTGCTTGCATAAATATGATCTGCACTGAAGAATCATGACAAGGAAACCTCACTTGCAACCTTACAACAAAACAACGTCTAGGTAAACCAGAGGCATTTTGGAAATGAGTGCTGTGGTCAATGAAACAAGAAAGGAACTCTTTGGCGGCAATTGCTAAAGTTTGGTGAAAAAAGAGAGCAGCATTTGATGAAAGAAACACCTTGCCAACTGTGGTTGGATCTATTATACTTTGGGGTTGTGTGGCAACCAGTGGCACAGGACACATTGCATGGATAGATGGAAGAAATAATTCCATCATGAAAAACACGCCTCTGCACATTTTAAATGCTGAATTTACATACAATGAACCTTTTTTTGGGAATATTTTTTTTCCAATATGTTCAATTTTTAATAAAAAAAAATGCCATGTTTACATTTCTTCCCTGTAGAAGATGCATTAACTTCTTTTCACCTACAAAATCAACAAAACATGTAATTTGACCTCATATATTTAAGAATAACCAGGTTTCCCAAAAATCTAGGTGGGTTTTGCCACTGTAAACAGCTGTTAGAGCGGTTTAAGGCTTGTGTTTGAACAGTCGTAGGTATAGATCCACAAGCTGGGAAGAGCGTTCCAAAAAGGTCAGAGATCACTTCTGAATGCTGGTAAATGACGCTGGTGCTCCATTTCTCCATCCTGCTCTCACTCTCTCTGTCACTCTCTCTCTCTTATTTACTTAGAGTTCCACAAGCAGAAGAGCAGAGATCTTGCAGCTTGCATTAACAAACCACAAACACACTGCTGTCTCTCTCTCACACACACACATTCTTCCTCTCTCTTATCAACTCTCTCACACACTCACTCACTAACTCGCTCTCTCGCTCGCTTGGTAAGGATGAGGCCGGCTCTCCAGCTGCTGCTGCTGTGTCACGCAGGCCTGTTTGCGTCAGTCACACCAGAGAACGGTAAAGTATTTGCTGAATTTAAAAGAGTTACAAAGTCCGCAGCAAGGAAAAAGCAGCTTGAGTGGAGATTCATTTTTGCACTGACAAAAGTTAAAAATGTTTATACAGTTTATATATTTACTTAAATTTGTATTTGGTTAAAATCTTTTTAATTATCTTCATTAGGAAGACCCCAGTGTTTTTCAGTCAGCTGCGTCTTTGTCCCTCTACCCTTATGGTGCCAAACATTGTACAAATGTTCAGATGTAAGACGTAGCCCCTTGTAGTGAAAGATGTAACACCGCTGACTAAAATTTTACTAAAATCTCAGCTTTTCTAAAATATAGTCCACTGCCACTTCAGTTTTAAAGTGTCCCTGGATGTAGAAATGTACAAAAAATGCGTTTATGTTGTTATTTTATGTCAAATTTAAAATACCTTAATGTTTCGTGGGTAACACCACTGACGCGATGTTTCTGTGGCAAATTAAGCTGTCAGAATTTGAGTAAAATGTATTCAAAACTTAAAAGAATTTTCACTAACCATGGACTGGAGTTAGTCTTTCTTCCTCTGAGATGTCCAAAGAAAAACAAAGTGAGAATGAGATACGCCTTGATTTTTTTAAATGACACTTTATGTTTTAGTAACACCATTGACCAACAATCTTGGCGCACGATTTATTAGCAAAATAAAATTATATTTGTCTTTTTTAAATAAGTTTAACGTTAGACAGACTATCATTTTAATGCATTTTTTACTACTTAAACTGAAACACAATCATCAAAATTGTTATTTGACATAAAAATAATACTTCAGCACCTGTGAAGTCACTCCTATGACATGCTGTTTTTCAGGCAAATACATCAACTTTCTGTGGTTTCTTCTTATTTTAAGCTCATTTTCAGGGCTTCAAAGGTGTAGGCCACCATTTGACACCATCCAGCAGGATTGTTCCATTGATTCTCACTGGCAGTCATGTTAATGTGTTTACCTGAACTTGGAAAAGAAAAAAAGCCTGTTGACTTGAGACACACTTAAAATGGAAATTGGGCAGTTGCTGAATTCTATGAGTAAAAAATGAAATATTACACTATTTCAAACAAACTACCATTCATACTCAAGCAATACAGGTGTTAGGAAATGACAGCTGTGAGAGCATGTCTAACCAGCTTGGAGACAACACAATAATAAAGCAGTTCCATTTCCTTTCACTTTCTGGAGGTGAAAACTCCACCCACACCACCTACACTGGTAATGAATCACCATGAATTCTTTCCTCTAGAAAACAAGTCTCATCTCTGAAAAAGCCAAGCAGCTTAATTCACAAATAACTGCATAAGGAGGTCTTTAAATTCAGACCTCGAGTCCAGTTTTTGGACCCCCTGGTAGATATGACGCTAGGCAGCCAATCAGTTTTATCCACAGTTCAGTTCACTACCAGAGACTAGAAAATCAATTCAAGGTCCAGATCAAAGTCTGGAACACTTATCAATGTTACTGATAAATTCAGCAACTGCCCATTGGATTCAAGTGAGTTTCAAGTCAATAGATTTTCTGTTCTTTCTTGCTCTTTGAGCTGTTATGCTGCATAAAACTGCAGCAAACTGCCAGAAGATCTTAAATGTTGCTTAATTTTCAAATTTTTGTAGCCATTTTTCAAATCCAGATGTGATTTGGTCGTAGGCACGAGCCGAAGGTGAAAATGAACAGCCGGCAGTTCATTTTCCAGCTCCTTACACTAAATTCCGAAACTGTCATCACCACTGAGCAAGCTTTTTTATGGAGCCCTGATGATGACATTCTGGATAAATGAAAATAATGCGTGGCCACGACCTAGTAAGGCGTGGGAATAAGATCACGGCTTACTAAGTCGTGGCCATGCATTAGGATCTAGTTCCCACACTTTACTAAGTCATGGCCACGACTTAATCATCTCATTCCCTCGCCTTACTAAGTCGTGGCCACGCATTATTTTTATTTATACAGGACGTCACCAGCGGGGCTCCATACTTTTTTGTTTTTTTATTGCGGCAGTTTTATGGCTGAGTCCGATTTGGTCAGAGTCTAAAGATGAGACTACAAGTTTGGCGAATGGTATTCAGTTCATTTCTGGTTAATTCCAGGTTGTTTAGCTGTTCTTCTGTCACAGCTGCTGACTGAAAAGCTGCTCAGTGGTGATGACAGTTTGGGAATTTAGTGTAGTCTCATCTTCAGAGTCTGACCAAATCGGCTGTCGGTCAAATGTGATCTTAAAAGTATCCATTTTCTGTTTGTAGTAAGAAGTAAAAATGTTCAAATTGCTTGAGCGTCTCCTACAGCTGTCAAAGTTGTTGCTTAGCAATGGCGTCTTAGCGATAACTGTTGTATAATTCTCTATTATGGTTTTATTCTACACACCCGGCCGGGGAATCGAACCAGGTGCAAGAGGAACATAAAAAGAAAAAAAATACTAACAAATCTTAAAAAAAAAAATAACAGAAAGTACAAAGTACATAAAGTATACTCTTTAAAAAGTTGGTTCTTCTAGGATCTTTATAAAGATCATGGTTCTAGAACCGTGAACACTCAAAGAACCATTTGCATGTTAGGATCTCTTCATGGTCAAATGATTCTTCAGACTGAATGAGCTACTCTCAATGAGCTAATTTTAATAACACTTAAGATCCTCGTTTTAGTTTCCTACTATGTTTTTACTCTACACTCTTAAAAAGATGGTTCTTATAGGGTCTTTAGTAAAGATCGTGGTTCTATATAGAACCGTGAACACTCAAAGAAGCATTTGCGTGCTTGGTTCTTTGTGTGATGAAATGATTCGTCAGATTGATGGAGAATGTGCTCTATATAGCACCAAAAATGTTTTTCTATTATATACAAGCTTGACATTGTAACAGTAGAAGAACCATTTGTAGTGCTATATAGAACCGTTTTCAAAAAGGTGCTATATAGAACCATTAACAACACATTTTCAGTCAATCTTAAGAACCCCTTTCACCAGGCATAGAACCATTTAAGCATGCAAATGGTTCTTTAAGTGTTCATGGTTCTATACATTGTCTTTACTAAAGACAAAGTGTATTTTATGTAATTTGTACTTTCTATTAATTTTTTGCTAGATTTGATATTCTTTTTCCTTTGATGTCCCTTTTGCGTCTGGGTTCGATTCCCCCGCCGGGCGTCTGGGGTCCTTTCTGAGTTTGCATGTTCTCCTCATGTCAGTCTGTGTCAGGCCAGTTGGTTATACTAAATGGCCGCTAGGTGTGAGTGTTTGTGTGTGTGTGTATGTGTGTATGCCCTGTGATGGACTGGCAACCTGTCCAGTGACCGCTGGGATAGGCTCCAGCACCCCCCCCACACACACACACCCCGGCTCCACCATGTCCCAGGAGGGTATGCGGGTTAAATGATGAATGAATGAATGAATGAATAAATGAATGAATGAATGAATGAATGAATGAATGAATGAATGAATTAATGGTCCTTTTGCATTTATTTATGTGAAGCACATTGAATTGCCCGTGTGCATGAAATGTGCTATGTTAATAAACATGCCTATCCTTGGTGCAGAGAAATGCATAAACATGGTTGTCTGTGGTGACCGTTCGCTTCAGACAGGGCTGATAGGGACTAAGCTGAACAACACTGGAGTATTCCTTTAACTGGGTCATTAAACATGATGCTCATTTAACCCTTCAAACTCTAATGTTCTGTATGTGAGTCCACATATCAAGTCCTTGTTCTCATAAGTGATGTACACATACAAGCCATATGATGTATATGCTTATGTTTTATGGCATATTATGGAATATCCTCGATTCTTTAACTGTGGGACTGAACTGCCAGCGAACAGCAGTTTGTATTATAATTCTTATGTACAAAATAAGTGACTGCTTTGTGCACACTCTGGGGCTTGGGTTGCATTATCAACCCCTTAAAATCCCAGGCTTGTTACAGACTATGGCTTATTGTTCAGTAACTACAGGGATTTCAATGCAAACTTATTATGCTATTCTTAGGTTTTAGAAGTGTGCAATAAAACTTTGGTCATTCACTTTCTGGCCATTTAAAAGGTCAATGCTAAAGCAAAGAAATGCCAGCCTAGAGTCTGAAGACTTCATCTGGCTGGGTATTGATTGAAATGATTTAGTATCAGTTCCAATAGACTGACACCGGAAATTTGACAACCAATACCAAAACAGTACACCCCCCCCTTTCTGTATGAGAGTTCATTGTACTAACCTTTGAACTACCTTAAATGTCCAGTTGGCTTGAAGACAAAGAGCAACAGACAAAAAACTTAGACTAAACTAGGCTTTAAAGGGAAATTCCGCTGCTTTTAATTTTTTTTTTGAACAGTTAAACCTTAAAGATGTAAACAAAGTCATTCAAAGTGGTTTAATGTGAAATGATCCATTGTTGAGAAACTTACCTGGCAAGAATTGTTCATAGTGGTGGTGATAGGAACCAGACATGTTCTGAATACACTACCTGACCTCACTCTACAATTAACTATTTCACATCAAACCACTCTGAATGACTTTGTTTACACCTCTTACAACAATTGTACTACATATAAATATTGTTTAGTGCAATTTGTGGTATTCCCATTTAAAGTCTTTGACCTAATTTGAGGGTATAAAACCCTGTGGGAGTCACAGCATGAAGTGCCTGGCAGTGGTCACCTCGCTCCAGCTGTTGTAGTGCAGCTGTGCCTTGTACATTCTCCTAGTGTGGCAGAGCAGACAAAACAAAGGTTTGTAAGTGCATCTCTTCAGCACTCAGATGTAAATCCTCTCGCTCAGCAGGCTCTGGTACCGATCAGTGACTGGCAACAGCTGGGTGGAGCCAACCACTTCCTGTCTCAGCAGCGTGTGCCTGTCGAATTCTCACTCTGAGGGAAATTCCAGCACAAACCACACAGAACAATTGTGATGGTTGCAAGTGGTGGCTCCGCTGACGGAGCTGAGCTACCCATGTCCCGCCCACAAATGCAGTCTGTAATTGTTAAAAACATTGCTTTTCAA